TACACCCTCGATGAATATCCACCGGTCAAGCACCACGAGAAAGATGTGCCTCTCTCGCGCGGCTTTCCTTCTCGCTACACTGGCAAGGACATCATCATGAAGCTTCTGTCCACCTTGCATGCCAAAAAATCCATCAAAGAAGCTTTCCGCTTTATAATTGTGGCCACACATCGTGATTGTGTTAAGGACGACCTTGATGCTCGAGTGAAATACACTAAATACTGAGCTTCAGAGGCTCTTACTCCCTGCATTTAGAAACGAGTTGATTATATTTAAAGAGCCAAGCGAGATTGCCTTTGTTCTGGACTTGAAGACCCCAGATTATCAGGATAAAAAGGCCCTTGAGCTGATTTGCAAACAGATTAGCCGGGCAAGTTTGGGAAACGCTTTCGACACACCAGCTTCTTTCTTTGTGTTTGAGCAAGATCTCGTCAAGTTTGCAGAAAAAGATGCAAAACGTGACATTCTGAGCCTCGAGGAATGCAAGCAGGTTGGTGCACGGCTACGAATGAATGCCGAAATGGTGGAAGCGGCTTTGATCCTCTTTCATCGCCAGAACACCTTCCTTTACTTTCGCAATGTTCTCCCAAAACACGTCTTTGTCAAACCCCAAGTCCCTCTTGACATAGTCAATGGTATTGTTCGTTACAGCTACAAAAAGCTGCAGGGTGTCCCAGCAAATGTGGCCTTACTCAAAGGCACAGGCACTGTGACAGAAGAAATGCTTAGCTATGATGAGGTTTCGCCTCACTTCAAAGAAGGTTTTTACGGAGTTAAAGATGCCATCAAGCTTTTTTGTCACACCCTTACATTAGCTCCACTGGAGCCCGACACAGCTGAGAATGCAGCTACCCCAGTTGATGACAAGAAGAAAGAGTACCTGATGATGTGTTTGAGGCCTGCCATTCCTGATACGGAACTCCATAACCACATACCTGAATCTTCTGACATACGTCCACTAGTCGTGAAGTTTAGCAGTGGCTGTGTTCCCCTCGGCTGCTTTGGCAGCACCATCTCCTGTCTTCTCTCCAAGTACGGCTGGGTAGTTCGCACGATAAAAGGTGGTGCTGTCAAATGTCTTGCCCAGAACATTGCCTCTCTGCATGACCCACAACTTCTTGTGAATGTCGTTCTTGTTGACCGCAACCAATACATTGAGATCCACATCGACTCGAAAAGTATCCATGATCTGCCCCGCAATACTTGCAGTGAGCTTCGCACAACCGTTTTTGGTGCAATTGAAAAGGTCTTCAATATCATGCGCCTGAAGAAAGATCAAATCAAAATCTCACCTGCCGTTGTCTGTTCCTGTGGAGAGGTGGAAGATCCGCACCATGCAAAATTTGTTAAACCTCGTACCAGTATGAGTTACTTCCTTGAATGCCTTGAATGCCGAGGAGAGATCGTTAAACCCAACGATAAACAGTTGCTGTGGGTGGGAAATGCTGCATCTAACACTGAGCCAACCCTTCCTCAATTGATGCGTCTCCAAATCCCAGAAAAAGTTGGAGTAAACTACAAAAAATTCGGGACATTTATTCTCAAAGACAATGAAGGCTGCCAAGTTGCTAATATGGAGGCCTGTAGTAGTAATCCAGAAAATATTGTCTACGAAATTTTAAAGAAATGGCTGCAAGAGATGCCCACTCCAGTGACTTGGGGAAACCTAATACAAATCTTGCGACAAACGGAACTCAATAAACTTGCTGACGATGTGGAAAGAAATCACAGAGATATAGCTTTCAGTTGAACACCTACACTTTGGACGCACTTACGAAGCTGTGAACTTTACAAACTATGCACACTTCAATGCACTTCACACTTGAACATGAAAATTCCTACTGGGTAAGTGACGAAGCGCTACACATTTGACCGTAATTCCCAGACCCTGGACCCAAGAGGGTCTGGGAACGTATTATCAATGTTTACGTAATTCGAAAATCACGCTCTTGCTCACGTGCGCCTTTATAGACCTAAGCGAAAAAAGCCCAGGATCAACGTCATTGCAGTCCAAATGCAGCCAACACTCAAAATGAACCTGCTCTAGCTCACCTATAAACCTTCGTACACCTCCAGACTCATAAAACACCGCTTACACACGTAAATCGATTTCTGGCAGCATTTTCTCTAAGACAGAGCTTACAAAAGATACCAAGAGCATCACGGCACCACTGCAACTGTGTGAACGGTATCTCGGAAGTGTTCTAGAGCATTTTATGTGAACGCAAAAGCGATTAGATACGCCAATGCTCACGAACGGGCGCGGTCGTCGTTGTTGAAAGTGCGAGGGGGCGGTCGCGGTGAACAAGTGGAAAGAGACGAGAAGAGAGGGCGTGTTTTTGCTTTACATCGACCTGTACCATGCACCAACCTAGACCCCTCTGGTAGTTCAATAAAGCCCGAGATAAGACCTAAAGTTGATGCTGGTAAACCCCACTTCGTAGATGTGCAGACAGTTTTGGATGTATTGGAGGGAAGCCGATTTTCTTCCCAATCGTCACTGGAGAACCCTGGGTCGCCGCTGGGAGTCAGCGATGTTGACTGGACACTATTGGCGCCGATTTCAGAGTGACGCGTCGAGCGTTGTCTAGAGGGCAGTCAGTCAGCACACTGAAGCGACGAAACCGGTGTGAAAATACGTGGTGGGAGAAGTAGACGTTGGCCGGGACGACACCCCCGCTGTTTCCAAAGGTGATGCAGCGAGTGGCGGGGAAGTAACGTTGCTCCGAAAGTGCGGGAAAAAGTTGGCTACACACAGGGTACGTAGTAGTTGGGTATAGATGCGACACCGTTGATAGAAGTAGAATTATTTCAGTTTTCATGCACTTTTGCTGAACAGCCGAAACAACACCTCCGCATGATCTTCCACACCAAGAAGTGTGACTCTGTGAGGTCTATATTGATACAATACTCTCTGAGTTATGCATTGATTCTGTCAGCAATTGGATCTGAGGGAAGCCGAGCTTTAGACTCTCGCCACCTCCCCACTCTCCCCACTGAGGTCCACTGGAACTCTCAAGTGAAGGATTTCTTTCAGGTACAGTAGGCTATGTTTGCTACCTAGCAAATACTCCATCGCTGGGGTTTTCTTCTGTAGATGAGCAGCAGTTGAAGGATAGCAAATCAGCGGACAGAAACCTTGTACTATAGTTGGAGATGAAACACAAAGGCACTGGAGGATCAGCAATGCAGACCCATAGCAATGTGGTCAAACGTCATTCATCGCACGATGCACACGGTAGTTACGTGCCAGTGGACTTTTTCAGGTCGCTGCGGGAAGCGTAAGATGTGACTGATCTCTCTTTGAGCTCGACGATACTGGGATCGTTCACCTACTTTCTCCTGGAACGTCTCTTTCTGCGACCAGCAACAGGGATCTCTTTGCCGGCCATTGAAGCCGTTTACGACAACTTGCGGGAATGCATCAGGTCAATCACAAGAAGGACAATTGAGTATTTCCGAAAGCATACCGATGTCTCGTCTGACTGCTCAGTGTGTTTAAAGGGTAAGCGCCTTCAGAAGTCCATCTACCTCAGAGAGCTGGGTAGAGAAGAAAGACTTTAAACGCTGGAGGAAGACGTCGAGAGATTTAGACAGGAATTAGCGCCCAATACAAACTTGTCGTTTCATTGGTCTATTCTGAAGAAGATTGCAAATGACTCCGTAGCCTCCCTTCTGGATCCCTAAATGCGCACCGTCTCCGCCGAGAGCTCGACGTAAGTGAATCTGATGCGGAGGGAAACACGGGGTTCTCAGTGGACCCTATCATTAGTAGATGACGAGTCCCTGGGTAGGGTGTCTCCAGAAAGCTAAGATAGCGATCACTTTGACTGATTGTTGCTTCAGTTGAGATGGTCCCCTCAGTCAGATGGAGCCACCAGCACACGAAGCCACTGACAGAAGAGCCCAAACACCACGAGAAGCCACTGAAAGAGAGTCTCAGGGCCAACACAACAAGAAGGTTGGGACTCTGAATCATTGGTTGTGTCCATGTGTCTTTGCTACGCTAGTATATACATAGGGCCGTAGGCTCTAACTGAGTGAATGTCTTGTGTATTTCAGCTGGTGGACGCAAAGGCTGTTGTGTGAAAAAAGTAAGTTTCCATACACATCCGCTCTGGGTTTCGGGTGGGCAGCAGTGACTGATGAGGAACCGCCTCCTGATGTATGCTCTGGAAACTCAAGCTCTTATGCATAAACACAGAGAGATCTGTGCCCGGCTCTGTCAATCACTAAACGTCTCCAAGGTTTGTAGTTCCCAAGTATTTGCTTAAGCCCTAGTACGTTGAGTTTCTAATGTTTAGTTTCTATTTCAACTGCTTCGTGTTCTCATAGTTATTGATGACTGCGCTGCTGTCAAATGTGACAAAGATGAGTGAAAATGTCTTCTTCAAAGGGGGCAGACCCAAATGCACTCGCCTCAATGGTACCGAACACAGTTGCCATAGTGTATGTCCGTAAAGGAGAGTATAGGTCGAGTATGCTAGTGACATAGATTGAATTACTCCCCTGATGGAGGCTAGTCGACACGGGTAATGTTTGAAATAGCAGTTTGCTGCTGCGACAAAGAGCTGACCCTAACCGCACTAATATGTCAGTTCAATGAATTAGCTGTGTCTAGACTGTTAGTTGGCGCGAAAAACAAGGAAGGCTGGACTGCACTATGGCGGTCTACAACAATGGACCGCTATGGTACGGCGGATTTCTGTTACAGACTGAGCAAACCCGGACATTTGCAAGACGCATGTGAGCCTCTATGGAAATGACTAGACCAACACTTAACCACTGCTCTCCGGGTGCTGGTCAGCTCTGTGATGGCTGCAGTGTACCAAACGTCATGATGAGGTTGCCCTGAGGATAATCCAGGCTGGAGCAACTCCACACCTCCAGGATGAGGTTGGCTTTTATTTTCACGAATCGCTATGATACATTCATCCTGCATGCAGAACCACACCCAATGCTATTCTTCTTGCCACTGCTACTAATGAACAAGACAGAGTTGTGGAAGCTCTATTGGAACAGTGTGGAAGATCCATCTCAGTTGGACCTCCAGGACAGCGTAGTCTTCTCCTTCTATGCCGTATGTTATTATTTCTCTCATCTCTCTCTTCCTGTTAGTATGGGGAAACTGTTCTTATTTTTGCGTGTAAGAACAGGAACCTCAAAACTTGTTTAAACAACTACTTTCCATGAAGGCTAATCCAACCTTTGCAATAACGTGAGTTATGCAGTGTCATCATATATACCACAGTCGTTGGTTTGCTGTTTCTAATACGCAGGGGAAACCCTGTCTTGATTGCAACAATGGGGTGATACAGAAATCGTACAGGAGCTCTGGACAACGATGCAGACCCAATATGGTGAGACACCCTCCCAAATTCATGCCAGGCTCGTTACATGAAAGCAGTTACACAAGTGTATCGTGCATCATTAAATGAAAGGCACTAAGTGCAAACCCTCGGCGAACTGCCATGGGCGATACTGCTAATTTGATGGGCTGGCTATTTGTATTGTTTACTCGTGGTGTCTGACACTGGCTAGCTACAGTATGTGGATAGCATTCAGGAGTCGATACATTCCATTCGTTGTGACTTCCTGAGCCCCCAAGGTACACGGAGCGAGCAGATCAGGTTGCGGTAAGCCAGTGAGATTATGCATATTGGGCTTTTTCGCGAACGCAGTCGTTTCAGGAAAATCGCCACAAATATTCTGACCTTCATTGCCCGTTAAGTAGGTAGTATCGTTTGTGAGACGAAAAAACATTCGAGAAGTGAGATGTTGAGTAACAGACAGACAGACAACCCAACTACTGTACCCTCGCTGCGCATGTGTGCCGAGGGTTAAATATGTGGATATAGTAATAGCTAATAGATAGTGTGGATAGCTACACAGAGAATAATTTCTCTTTGAATGATGACTGAGAGTAAGATCAAAGGAATTCCAGCTAGTCCAGATGCGCGTAGTGAGCGCTTCCTGCTCAGTCTACGGGTAGTTAACCCTCGGCGCGCATGCGTAGCGATGGGGGTACAGGTTTGTCTGTCTGTCTGTCTGTGTGTCTGTTACTCAACATCTCACTTCTCGAATGTTTTTTCGTCTCACAAACGATACTACCTACTTAACGGGCAATGGAAGGGCAGAATATTTGTGGCGATTTTTCCTGAAACGACTGCTGAAGTCACAACGAATGGCGTGTATCGACTCTCGCATGCTGTCTACTACTGTAGCTAGCCCGTGTCAGACTCTACTATGCGGAGCTGAGACCACAAATAACGCAATTAGCGGTACCGCGCATGCGCAGTTCGCCGAGGGTTTTCACGTGTACATAAAGAGGCCATACAATTTCCACATACTTGTAGTAGGAAATTGGAATGCAATTGGGGGCTTTACACTCTGTGCGTGCTTCTGTTTCTTTACCAGTGAGGGAGTGTTTTCAGGCCAGAAACTGCTCTAGTATATACGCGGTTCTGAAAGCTGCTTCCCGACGCGTAGGACTGGAACAGTATTCGGCTTTCTTAATAATTATATATACACTCGAGGGTGTGCGTTAAAAAGAGGGCGTTTTGAAAGCTTTTGCGCAATTTCATTGGTCAGAGCCTTACCGCCGGATGTCATCATACAAACACGTTATATACGGTGGCTTTGGCTTGTGCACACTCGTGGCTTCAGTTATGATAGACCACTCGGGCTTCGCCCTCAAAACGAACTGCCAACTAGTGTAGACCACGCGCCGCCATCGTGTAACATATACGTACATACACTGGGCAATATACACCCACTGATGGTAGCAATCAACTCTAGGCGGCCAAGAGGCTTGGCAAGATGCTAGCTGATCACAAGGACAAGCAACATGAGGTACTGCGTTTCATATGGTATTTTTTTCCTGTAATACTAACTAGTAATAATATATATACAGGGAGGTGTGCATGCTTTTGATGAGATGGCCCGCGCTGAGCTGCGAAACTTCACAGACTTGGCCAGGAGACTCAATCCACAACAGGTTGAGTGCACAACTCACATTTAAACTGTGTTTACCATCTGTCTATTTCACTGAAATAGTTGTTTACCTCGAGGACACCAAGAGATGTTCTGAGGCTGACAATAAAATCCCTGGCCACAGTCCAGAAGCACCTCAGTTTAGGTCCACTCATGCTACCACTGGTACTTGGTTTTTTACGGCATATATATGTTCCAAAGAACTCATGTACAATGACATTTGGTTTTCTAAACTACGAGTCACCAACTTTATTGCACGTGCATAGTAGTAGCTTTATTATTGGCGAGTGGGAGGTAACCCCACTTTGCAGCTAACCTAGCTGACCAAGAGTTTCTTGAAGAACTGTTGAAATTGCTTGTCACGTATGAAGCTAACTTAACTAAACATAAGAATGTATCTTGCAAAAGACACACTATTGCTAATACTGGCTATTATATGCATATCGTTTTATTGAGGACTTCACATGCTGGGTGGTTCCGCCGCGCGCGGTGTATATACGGTCGGTAGGTGGGGTAAAAAGAGTGTCCTGGGTGTAGTTGATGAGCAAAGTCAGAGAAAAATGTATGGAACACATTGATATAGTTGCCACCTTGTATTTAATATCAGAAACCTGAGAAGGATGAAGGCAGAGAAGAGATTAATTCTCAAAAACAAAGAAGCGAGGATGACGCTGCAACCGCTGGAAAGAAAGGAACAAGAAATGACAGTTGTGAGTGGGTTACTTTTCCCAGACTGTACATTAATATAATTATATCACAGCCTTCCTACTACAAGTACGACGACAGATACCCAGGAATAAGGTTCTTTGGGAATCCGTGGAAGCAAACGGTCACAGTGGCTGGTGCTCACATCAGCTGGAGGGAGGAGATAGGGGTGGAGTTTGTTATCCCTCCCGGGGCAGTCCCTGCGGACAGAGAGCTGGAACTGAGTGTCTGGCCATGTTGTGACGGTCCGTTCTCATTGCCCGATGACTGTGAACTAGCCAGTCCCTGTGTTCCTCGTCTCTCCCTCGTTTGAATTCTCGCGTGACATTTCCCTCACCATGTCGCACTTCTCAAACCTAGAAAACTGCGGGACGACTGTGAGGAAATGTTCTTCCTCTCGGCACCAGCCACTTCACACACGAGAGAGAGAGGCCGGTTGTATCGGTTCAGAGTCCTTGGAGAGGGGATTTCAAACCTCATCAGAATGACGGTCGAATTCTGCTCACTCATTTCTGTACGATAACTACTGGTCGTAAGTGCAAGAAGCCCTCAGAAAATCCTTCTAGTAAACGAATGAGAGGTGAGATATTTTTATATGAGTAAACCCTGCAACTATTATTGTATACCGAGCAGATGACAATCGATATGTGTGCCAAGTTTATCGAGGCAAGGAGTATGACGACACTGTTCTATTTCTGCCTTTCTTCACCATGAGTTGTATTTCACTGTAAGTGTGATAACCAAACAAACAGGCAGGGTATGTGTATTTTCCTCACTTCCCAGAAACTGCAAAAGTTGTGAAGGAGAACTTCTCTTCTAGGCTTTTCTCGCTTTCTTTCGAGCCAATCAGCCTTCTAGAGGACAAAGTAGCGCTAAAGTGGCCCTTTGATATGGGATGGCAATATACTCCTGACAATGAACCTTGTGAGGTTAGTAGTGCTTGCTGTACATAATCCCAATCATTGTGAAGGTTTTATAATAATTATGCAGCTAACCAAAGAAATGATGGACTCCAGTAATAGCTTCCCATATCCTCCGACAATCAAGCTGGATATCGAGAGAGAACCCTAATTCAAGTTTTCAGTCCACTAGAATTCTTGTGGAGATATTGGGTATCACAGAGTGGGGAAGGAAATACACACTGAAGCCAAAGCAAGGTTAGCTGTATGCACAATGTCATACATTATTCTCTGGTTTCATGGCAACAGTGCAAATAACAGGATTCTACTCCCTGTAGGCACCAGTCCATGTTATTCGCTATCATCAAATTCTTCTGGTCCATTCAGTCCACCGCTCCAGTCCCCACAGACTCCCCTACACAGTCACTTGCAACATCACGTTCACTTTCAAGCTCTTCCTCTCTCTCAGACACTGCCACTGAGCTCCAAAACTTGATGATGTAATCAGTCGTAAGTCCCTTGCAGAAATAGCAAGAAAATCACCAGCTGGAAACCTCTGGGGCCATACCTGGACCTCAGTAGACAACAGGAAGAGGAGATTGCACAGAAATACAAGGACAACCTCGGAATGCAGAAACGAGAGTGTCTGGAGGTGTGGAAGGAGGTAAAGGGGAGAAGGGGCCACGTACAAAGCCCTCATCTCAGCAGTAGAGGAAGCAGAAGACATGCAGTTGGCAGGCTATGTGAGGTCACTTCTAGAGAAATGAACCACCATTGCAAATGTCTAGCGTTACATGTGTACACAGAAGTCTCTGAATCCTGTGGCGGCTCATTTGAGCACACGTCACGTGCATCACACATGTTGAATTCCCTATGGCGCCGTATATACGCATGCACACTCTGACTCTGGCGCCGGCCTCTAATCAGGAATTGATGTTGAGGAGACACCAGAGCTTCAAGGCCCACCAGAGCCTCATACGTTGTATAAAAACAATTATTAAAGATGGGAAACTTTGCCTCAACATCGATGGTGGCGTTGGAGAACGGGGAGATGTGCTTTACTTCGGTGTCTAGGATGCTTGCCGCCCGGATGGGATCATGATCGGAGCCGAACCTCGTCTAGGGCCTAGGGCATCGACAGACTCAACAATGATGCCCTAGTCTCCTAGCCCTAGTGAGTCTACCCGCCCCACCCTGCTCTAAAGATAGGGAGGGGTGGGGGTTGGGCCTATCGGTAGAATTATTGCTTGAAGTGTTGGTAAAGCTCGAAGAAAGTTGCTGGAAGTGGGTAAAGAAGCGACAAGCGAATGTGTTGTGATAACTAAGTACGGTAGTACTCAGTGATC